GGCTGTCGCTGCAGGGCTCCCTGACTCGCTGTCGCTGTAGCCAGCAAAAGTAAGACGGTCTGGGAGCAAATCATGAGGGAAATGGCAGCATCTGGTGTTCCCTCTCTGGCGAAGAACCTCGTTTTCCCAAACTTCTGCATCCGCTGTACTTTAGCGTTCATGATCTCGGTCTTTGAAGACCTGCATTTATCAGGGCTTCATAGCTTAGCCTAGGCAGAACCTTAACGTTTCAGAATGAGAAAATGCTGCGTTTGTCGCAAGGGCTCTGTTTATGGTGTTATCAGGATGCACACAGTGTTCGTTCTGTGATGATTTTTGGAGGATCTCTGTGCCTATGCGTAGACTCTTGCATGTAGGCGTGTGCATTTAGCTTTACCAAACCACCCAGGGAGATGCCCTTCTCCGTTGCTGAGCCTGTAGGTGAGGGTCTGTAGTCACTAGTTCAAATGCTGGTAATGGGAGAGAGATGGGGAGCAAAAGCTGCTGCTCTATCTTGGTAATTAACTGTTGGAGAAATCTAAGTAATTACGCTTCTTGAGTGATGTAAGTTCTGCACCAAACAACGGTAAAATGTCATTTTGCAATAGCTTTACAGACACATCTAATTTTGAAATGAACTTAGTAACACGACTTAACTTAGAATGTCTTTAAGCTGCCAGAATGTCAAGTAGCCGTGACGCATTTCAGAAATCTGCAGGAGACCGATGATGTTAAATAAATAAATGCTGTCTCAAGCCCAAACAATAAAACATTGGCAAGCAACTGGTGTATAAAATGAAAATTACTTTCCTGATTTTTTTTTATTATTGTTACTAACCCAGCTGAGAGAAATGCAGAAAGTGCGTACACTGAACTGTTGCAAAATTCTTTGGTATGCTTTTTACATGTTAGCATATAAGCACTATCCATTTGGATTTTTAAGAGTGATTATCTCATAAGAAGTACCTGTCTGAAATTATTAAATACAAATCCTATTTTGTTTGTACTTTTGTTGCCCAGCAATATCAAGATACTCAAATTGGTTTTAGAAATATATTTACTAAAATTTCTATCTACAACATACTTACTATCTTTCCAAATATATTTTCAGACAATTTCTTGGATGTATAAACCATAAAAAAATCCAGGCCACTAATAGAAACTGTGAAGTGACTGCTGATGTGAGACATGATGGGTCTGAACCACTTGTAGATGTTATGTTTGGTAAGGAGTTCATTTTTAATCTTGACAAAAAAAAAGACCTTCTGCATTTGTGTTGTTATGATGTTACTGCCTTCTCTGTGATTTTTTTTTTTTACTGTTGTTACTTTTTTCTGGTTCTAGTCCATAGCTAGGTGTTGTGCAGCTGGGAGGAAACAAGGAAGAGGGAGTCACTAACAGCCCAATGTCTAGATAAATATGTATGTATGTCTTAGTACTACAGTTAGATCTAGTGGATCTTAGATCAAAGAACTGACTTAACTTTAGGGTTGAGTCTACTTTTGTAGTGACATATTTGTGTGACCTTGCAGTCAGGTACCACTCCAGGGAAGTAGTGTAGCTCTGGTTGCATGTAAGAATGTTCACTTTCTGTAATTTTTTTAATGTTATCTGTGGTGGAGGTATCTCAGTCTTGAGAACAGAGAAGTTGAATACCTTTAGTTGCTTATGCAACTGAGTAACTTAGTATGCAGTTTGAAGGAACTGCTCATATGGGTAAGACCATACATGTGCAGATGGACTTGTAGAATGAGGTCAACTGATGGACAACAAATTTCTTGGTTTCCTTTGAGGGTATAGTGAGCAGGCAGGGAACTGATGGTGGAAATTTCATCAGTTCTGGAAGCGGCCCAGATTCTAGGCCGTGAACAGATGGCTCTAATCTGCTTTTGTCCTTTTCTCTGGCTGCATCTTCTTTCCTGCTGTGCTGTAATGGACCAATATGTCATGTAGCCCAATAAAGTTTTCATTATTATTGATTCTCGCTACCTCCTTTTCTTTAAACTTCCTATCCAGTATGGGAATATATTTACTGAATCAGTAGAAATGTCAAGAGTGTTGAATGTACTTCATTTTGCTTAGGAAAGTCTAGTTATTTCACTGTTGACATTGCTTTTTTCTCCCTTCCCCCCTGCCTCTGCCTTTCCTATCTTTGTCTCTAACTGTGATGTATTAAGACTTAAGCAGTAAAGCTTAATGTTTTTCACAGTGTAAAACCAAAACAATTTATTTTGCTAATGCCAAGAGCTACAGCTCTGAACTCTTCGTTTTCTAAGAGCTGATTACTTTCCAAGTGAAGAGTTTGCAGCCCTTGTAGTTGGCAAACATGGGACTGGAACTTGGATGACATGCATGGTATTGCATTATATGTGTTTGAGTGTGGCTTTTGTATTTGCAAATCTTGCAAAAATAAATAATTAACTTAGGTACAATACTTAATTTCTACTGTCTCCTCCCTGTTTTAAAATAGTTTCTGTCAGAATTTTAGAAATCCTAGTGCTCTCTACTTTTTTACATTATAATCACCAGATTGTGTAAACCAATTTGTTGTTTTGGCTAAAGAAGTAAGTTAAACGGACCATAGACAACATGCTGCTAAAATGCTGAGCCATGTGTGGAAATTATGCCTTCCAGTGCCTTCTGTGCCTTCTGTTAGATGACTTTGAGGGCATAGTATGAGCCATTCTCATCAAATATGTGCTCTTACTATAGGTATATCTAGACAAATGTTTCAGATTTTTCAATAATGCAATACAAAAGTGAAAATTACATGTATTGTGTGCAGTGTAATACATTTGTTTGCTGGTGGTGCATAATCAGATTTCTTGGTAAGTGGAGTACTTTCTAATCAGACAAGATGAACAGGGTATTTGGGTTTATATATACAAAACAGAACTGCACACTAAAGTAATTGTGACTTTGACTTTGTGACTTGTCAATTTTTTTTCCCTTTACAGCTGATGGAGAGCGATTGATAATGAAGGGAGCCAACTTGACAACAATAGAAATGTTAACAGCATTGGGGTCCAGATGTAATGCAAAAGAGCTTAAGGAAGAACAGAAAAGCAAGAAGAAGAGTCCTTGAAGAACAGAAAAACAATTGTGTTTGCATTTACATGTGTTAAAAACAGCAGGCTGCACAGAAGGCTTTTCTCCTATGCAACAAAATCTGAAAGAGAGAGATGGCCAAAACACTGACCAGTTTAACATGCAGCAGAACAAAACATTTAAATGTTCCCTCTCTTCACCTGAAGGAAAACAACAAATCTTCTAACACTAGCGGGTCAGAGTGGCTTAAGATGCATGAATGTGTCTTTCCATGCAGCTGCCTCTCAGTCGTCTGCATGTCGGACTAATATCACATGTATTTGCATATAAATGTAAATAATGCACATTAGCTATTAAATTAATATTACAGTGAAGACAAATCTCTTTAGACATTATTTCCTACAAAATTTCTATACAGTGGAATGGAAAATATTATTAGAGTGGTTATTATTTTTGAAAATCATTAAATACAAAAATTTGAAGAAAACTTTTAAAGTATTCATCATTGACTTAGCTGAGGGACTGCAAATACAAAAGCGGATTTTGTAACACTATGTTTGTAACACATCTGTTGCTAAGTCCCTGCCATTTTCTTCCACTCTTTTTCAAGAAAGTGTGAAATTTGCTAAATATAAATTTCGCTCAGCAATTAAAGTAACAAGGTAATGGGACTGTGAACACACAGTAGAGCTATTCATCCTGCATAAAAGTAGCTAAGTTTAGCTCAAAGGGAAAGGTAAGTTAGGGGGTTTTGTTGACAATTGGAGAAAAGGGCTATCTTTGAAGTTCAGTTTTGTAATATTTTTGTCACTCACTTTTGGGAGATTTCATTAAATATTTTATAAAGATCAAAGGGAGAACTTTATTTGGTGTTTATAGCCCTATGTCCAGCCCTATTATTTATTAAAGTGCGTGCTTAGGTGTCTCAACTGTATTGCAGAGCTCTGTGAGTTTGCAGGGGCTGATCTCTCCTCAGGCTGTGCAGGTGAAGGTGTCAACTGCACATGTATTTCATGTACATCGGTTTTGTTCTAGTTCAATTCATAATGAAAATGTAATTAAAGTTTTGAAAATTGCAGGGCATTAGTTCTACCTGTTCTTAATCAGATGACCGACTTCTATAAAATTGTAGTACATATATTTCCAAAGTTAATTTGGCAGCAGATTTAGGGCACAAATCTGAAACTAGTTCTACCTTACTTTTGCCGAGATTTGTAAATGGACGCTGTCCTTTCTGAAAGCAACATTGTTTTAAATAGCACTGTCAAGCTAGTTCTTTGCAACTTCTTCACCAGGATGCTGAAGTCAAGGTGATAGCTTATGTTGGAGAATCAGAGCTGTGCTAAAGACGTTTGATGATATTTTATGGTGGCCTCCTCCGTGTGTTTGCAACAAAAAAAAGAGAGCGAGATAAGATGACTGGGGCAGATGGGTCAATGAAATTGAGACATGGGAACAATAGATGTGAATGACTTAGTCTGGGATGAATACCTTCTCTGCAGTCTGTTATTCTTTTTTTTATTAGGCCACCAACTCTTCCGAGTGGTTTCAGAGTGCTGAGCTCCCTTCCAGTGGAGGAGTTACAAAACGGTTTGAGAGGATTTAAAATCCTGTCAAGCTAGAAGAGTATCCTAGAAAGGGGACCAAATAGAAATAAGGCTGTTCAAAGGACAGTTTTGGTTTCTTTTTTTTTTTTTTTTCCCCAGATTAGAAGAACATCGTATAGCATGACTTTACCTGAAGAAGCCTTACAGGGGAAGTTAGAATTGTTCAAGTGGAAACACTGCAGAATTATTCATTCCCCAGTTAATCGTAGAACCATAGTTTGCGTTGGTTGGAAGGGACCTTTAAAGGTCATCTAGTCCAACGCCCCTGCAATTGGCAGGGACATCTACAGCTAGATCAGGTTGCTTAGAGCCCCGTCCAACCTGGCCTTGAGGGTTTCCAGAGATGGGGCATCTACCACCTCTCTGGGCAACCTGTGCCAGTGTTTCACCACCTTCATCGTAAAAAATTTCTTCCTTATATCTAGTCTGAATCTACCTTCTTTTAGTTTAAAACCATTACCCCTTGTCCTGTTGCAACAGATCCTGCTAGAAAGTTTGTCCCCATCTTTCTTGTACGCCCCCTTTAAGTACTGGAAGGCTGCTATAAGGTCTCCCTGCAGCCTTCTCTTCTCCAGGCTGAACAACCCCAACTCTCTCAGCCTTTCTTCATAGGAGAGGTGCTCCATCCCTCTGATGATTTTTGTGGCCCTCCTCTGGACCTGCTCCCACAGGTCCATGTCCTTCCTGTGCTGAGGACCCCAGAGCTGGATGCAGTACTCCAGCTGGGGTCTCACCAGAGCAGTAGTAGAGGGGCAGAATCACCTCCCTCGACCTGCTGGCCACGCTGCTTTTGATGCAGCCCAGGATACGGTTGGCTTTCTGGGCTGCAAGAGCACATTGCTGGTTTATGTCCAGCTTTTCTTCCAGCAGTAACCCCAAGCCCTTCTTCTCAGGGCTGTTCTCAATCCCTTCATCCCCCAGCCTGTATTGATACCGGGGATTGCCCCAACCCAGGTGCAGGACCTTGCACTTGGCCTTGTTGAACCTCATGAGGTTCACATGGGACCACTTCTCAAGCTTGTCCAAGTCCCATCCCTCAGGCCTGTCAACTGCACCACTCAGCTTGGTGTCATCTGCAAACTTGCTGAGGGTGCACTCGATCCCACTGTGTGTGTCGTTCATGAAGATATTGAACAGCACTGGACCCAATACAGACCCCTGAGGGACACCACTTGTCACCAGTCTCCATCTGGACATAGAGCTGTTGACCACTACCTTCTGGATGCGACCATCCAACCAATTCCTTATCCACTGCACAGTCCACCCATCAAATCCGTCTCTCTCCTATTTAGAGAGAAGAATGTTGTAGGGGACTGTGTCAAAGGCCTGACAGAAGTCCAGGTAGATGACATCCGTAGCTCTTGCCTTGTCCACTGATGTAGTCACTATTGTAGAAGGCCACTAGGTTGGTCAGGCAGGACTTGCCCTTGGTGAAGCCGTGCTGGCTGTCCCTAATCACCTCCCTGTCCTCCATGTGCCTTAGCATAGTTGCTAGGAGGCTCTGTTCCATGACCTTCCCAGGCACAGAGGTGAGGCTGACAGGTCGGTAGTTCCCAGGGTCCTCCTTTCTACCCTTTTTAAAAATGGGTGCAATGTTTCCCATTTTCCAGTCCCCAGGGACTTCACCTGACTGCCGTGGCTTTTCAAATATCATGGAGAGTGACTTGGCAACTACATCAGCCAATTCCCTCAGGGCTCTGGGATGCATCTCATCAGGTCCCACAGACTTACGTATGTTCAGGTTCCTCAGGTGGTCACGAACCTGATCTTCTCTTACAGTGGGAGGGACTTTGCTCCCCCAGTCCCTGCCTTGTGGTCCATCCACTCAAGAGGTGTGGGAGGAGAGGTTGCCAGTGAAGACTCAGGCAAAGAAGTTGTTGAGTACCTCAGCCTTCTCCTCGACCGTTGTTACCAGTTTGCCAGTTTTGCTCATCAGTGGGGGTACGCTTCTTTGACTTTCATGTATACATATGCTCAAAAGCCCTTTTACTGTAATATATCAGTGATTTTTGTGATTTTTTTGTTTTAGTTTTTTCTTTGACAGTTTGTACAACAATGTCAGTGTGTAAAATGTGTTTAAATGTGAAGCACTTACGTCCATCTTAAACAATTAGCAATCTGTAAGCACTTAAAGAGTAAAATAGGGGTTAAGTAATATTAAGTTTCTATAGTGTTTATATTGGCCCAAGATTGGGGTTTATATTTATGAAGAGAAAAGGGAGAAAAATGAAGATCCTATTTCAGGCTTTTTAGACCCAAAATAAATCCTCTTCACTGTTGAAGTAAGGTGTTTTTTTTTTTTCTTTAGTTGCATGGATAGGCATCCTGCTCTGTAAAGACATGCTCTTACTAGGGGCTTTCATTTGAACCCAGAGATGTCCAGCCTTTTTACTTAGGTTAGGCCAAAGGCCTGTAATGTAGCTGTTGAGAGACGACTGACAATTCAGTGGGTGAGACGTTAGCTGATGCTGCTTTTGCTGTGTGTGCCGGTAGCTGCAATTTGCAGTGGTAAAACTCTGATACGTTTTGTGCATGAAAAAGAAGTAATGACTAGGATTTGAATATGTAAGGTATAAAGGAAAACATACAGGACAGAACAATAAAGCTAAAAATGTGCATTCTTAAGACTACAAGATATCGAAGTGATAGAAACAAGCAATATGGGCAAGGAGGTACTCCTCTGGTGATTATTATGCTAATATGTAGAAAATTGCTCTCCCTGTACCATGTAGATAAAGGTACTAATTTATTTTTCAAGTATGTCGAAGATAATCTTTAATGAATTTCTTCTCTAAGCATTTAGATAACTTTGCTGCAAGCTGTTCATACGGTATCAATTTCTGCTGCTGATTGACTGAAACAAAGCCAAGCGACCTGCTGCTCTGACATCTTCCTGACATGCACAGTCTAGGGCTGTGGATGGAGAGGGTATTAAGGTCAGTCATGCAGAACAAAGCAGGGCTGAGTGAGCATTGACTTTGCATGTTATTATTCTCTAGCACACTAATCTTGATTACTATACCCCACCTAAAATGTGGGTGCTTGCCTAAATATAAAAGGAACTGGAACAGGCCCTAAAAACACTAAGATTAACTAAATACAAACACCACGTCCATGTAGGGTGCCTGATAGCAGGTGATGACGTTAAAATGTCCAGATCTCTAATACCTGGAGATTTAAAACAATGATTAGAATAATCTTAGACCTCTTTATCGTACAAATACCTGTTTATTTAGAAGTTCTTGTCAATGCATAGGGAAAATAGTCCTGAAACAGATGAATGTGCCATTCAGATAACATTAGCTGCTCAGGGTACTCCCTTTTTAAATATCTGCAGCATTGCTTTTAGAAAAAGATAATGGTATCTTTATTAAAGATTTCAACCAGGAGCAGCAGTGTTAGCGAACATTTTCACAGCAAATTTTAACTA